GAAAGCATAATTAATAAGTGTCATTTTCAAGTTATGTTCAAGTCATGTTCAAGTTACTTCAATAAACAGCATATTCAATGCAGATTGTGTTCATCAGTTTTGATTGTCATTTTTTGCTGGAGTGTTTGTTTTGTTGATTTTTTGGTCAGCCATATAAATGAGTTTTGTCGTATAAAAACACCCCAAATTAAATAAATTAAAAGAATATGTTTGTTGATCTACTGAGTTTGCATGCGGGACGCATATCATCGGAGGCTTGGTAAGTGTAATATTCCCAAATTTTATATTGTGACCATTCGGACTCAGCTATAAAATTGCAGTGTAAACGTCCGTGTTAAAGGAATTTAAAAGCTAATATAAATCGCGTTGTAGAGCGTTCATTCAAGTGCGAGCTGTGAAACATAGAATATATTTGTGAAGTTTTTTTTTATTAAAATCATAACAGGTCACAAATATATCACAATATCAATTTTAACACAAAAAATCAGGTAAATCATGATAAATATTACTTCTAATCTGACCAGTTTTTCTAAGGACATCATCTTGAATATGAAGCATAGATTTCAGTCTATAGGAGATTTTTCTCTGAGAATATTTCATTTTATATTTATACATAGTAAAGCTAATAAATGATATCAAATTATTAAAAAGCAAAGTATTTCCACTAGTTTCACTATAAAATCCAAGTACAATAAATTTCCAAGTAATGTCATATTTCAGAAAGATACCTACTTTTTCCCTTATAGGCTTAACAATTTTACAATCAAGAGACATTTTACAAAAGAGACATTGTTATTCAAAATACCATGTAATAATTTATAATTAAATTCTGATATTCTCTTCTCATATACATTTAAGATCTTGTTTATATAAATATATTTCCATATACAAACACCCTGAATATTAAATGTGTTTGTCCATTTCTTTTTCAACAAAGGTTTTTCACATTTGTGAAGTTTTAAACAGTTTTATAAGCGAGGCTATAAAAAGTCAGCTTACAGATTTATTTGCTAAAGATTTTTTTCTTAAAATAAACTGAAAGAATGAAAATCATTAACAAAATGACAGCCAGACGGACCAAGAATATCCCATGAATCTTTCATAATGGAGGTATAAATTTTTTGATATATTATAAAGCAAACAACTAAGTCACTTTTCATTTAATGCTAAATAGAATTATTCGGTACTACGATGATACAATTGATAGGACAACATTTCCTGTAAAAGTATACTTTAAGAGGGTTGGAAAAGTTATTCAGCATAGTATAACCTTCCAATTCAAAAAGCACATTAAAATGATGCATATCTTAATTTAATTCTCACATGCATTCAATGTACGAAACATTTCCCACTGATTTATAAAATGAATTCATAATATTAAAAATTAAATCTGGCACTAATATCTACTTAGCATCATTATAATGTGCAGATTTATTTTTGACTTTATTGAGTTGAGAAGCTACACTATGTCGGTTCACTTGTTTCATTTTTTACAGCATTCAAATACTATAAATACAGGAAATGAATTGCTGTGTATCTCAATTACGTAGTAACGAATAATTTCTCAAGTAAATCACATGCAAGTAGTTATAATGCTGTATCAGATATACAATGTAAATAATGTCTTCAATAGTTTTATATCTTTTTTTTAAAAAGTTAACTTACTTATGCATTGATCGTCTTTTTGTTCATATTCTCCGCAACATCTCAGTCTTCCACTATGGATGAACAATAAATAACACTTAATGTAATTGCTTTTGCCAGAAAATAAAATTCGCATAATAATTGCAATATAAGCGAACTATTTGTTGTGCGACTTACTCAGTAGTCTTGCAAACCCCATATTGTCCCTCAGTGAGCCCAGTTATCACTGAGAAACACAACTGTAAGGCAAAGACGTAACAGAGAAATATCACCTTCATGGTGGTTCTAAACACATAGTGTTTGTATTGATTTCAATTCATAGCTCGCACGTGAACAATTCTAAACAGCCCTTTCCTTCCTGTACTGTATTTTTTAGAAAACAAGGAAATTTAGATTCATTGATGCTATAATAAAGTTCACATGTACAATCATTATTTTCCCTATTTTATTCATGTTAAGCATATATAACGTCTAAGTTGTTTATCTTGGACAGGCGCAATAAATGAAACAAAAATTCTTATGGGTTTTATATTTATTTGGCGCTATTGGGCACGGCTGAATTACACAAAATATTATTTCGGGCCTCCAAAGCAACGGGTAGGCCCAGCAACAACAACAACATTTCATTTCAACAACAACAACAACATTTCAGTACAACATCAACATACAACATATCAGGTGACCTTGACCCTGGGAGATGCAGAGGTCAAGGTCACATAATAAAAACTTGCAATGCAAGAATAATATTCACACATCCATGACTCTGGGAGGTGCAGAAGTCAAGGAAGCAAATAAACATAGTTTTGTTTACACTGTCACAATATTTACATGGTATTCAACTTTGACCCTGGGTGGTGCAGCGGTCCAATAATGAACAAATATTATATGATAGTTAAATTGATGTATGCCGCTCAGTTCACAAGTTCACAGACAATCTTCAAAATGACAGCCGTGCCGGATATGTAGGTACAGATGACCTCTTGCCTTGTATTTTCCACTGAAAAGAAATAACAGAAACACCAGCAGTATCTATTCAACAATGTATATTTGGGGGATTAAGGGGAGGGAGGGATTTTAAATCTCTATACTTAGTCATTTTCTAAAATTTGAATAACACCAACCTTGCAACTAGCGTGTAGCCGGCAAAGAGAGAGTTTGCCGCATGAGTGCTTTCTTTATATATAACTGAAGGTTAGATAACTCGTGCCAAAATAAGGAGAGGTAACTGCGCCAAAAAAATTGCGCTGCCAAGATAAAAGCATCTTATTCGCATATAGGCGAGATAGATGCCATATTATCTTGGACAGGCGCAATAAATGAAACAAAAATTCTTATGGGTTTTATATTTATTTGGCGCTATTGGGCACGGCTGAATTACACAAAATATTATTTCGGGCCTCCAAAGCAACGGGTAGGCCCAGCAACAACAACAACATTTCATTTCAACAACAACAACAACATTTCAGTACAACATCAACATACAACATATCAGGTGACCTTGACCCTGGGAGATGCAGAGGTCAAGGTCACATAATAAAAACTTGCAATGCAAGAATAATATTCACACATCCATGACTCTGGGAGGTGCAGAAGTCAAGGAAGCAAATAAACATAGTTTTGTTTACACTGTCACAATATTTACATGGTATTCAACTTTGACCCTGGGTGGTGCAGCGGTCCAATAATGAACAAATATTATATGATAGTTAAATTGATGTATGCCGCTCAGTTCGCCACAAGACCCCAGTCGTATATGCTTGAACAAAGCATCTACGAATGGGGGCGCCGCCACTTTAGTAGTGGGGGTCCTGAGCGGCCTGAAACAGCCGTGACCCTTCCTCTCCAGATATCAGTCATTACCGTGATGGATAGAACCTGTATCCAAGCCTAATAATTGCTTCGATACCCCCCTGGATTGTGTTTAGAAAAATTTCATTTCCTAACTTAGATAAATGAACCCCATCCCTTTCAAAAAATCGGGCATGATTTTTGATGTCAGGGTAGTGGATAACAGAACCCCCATTTTGACAAACCTTGTTAGAGAAAAATGCATTTAACCTTTTTCTAGTGTTCTCCATTGCCAGGTTATTTGACGAATAACGCCAACTAATGCGGGGCAGAATATGAGACCATATTAAGTGAACCAGAGGAAATTCCTCCTTAATAAATTCCAAGAATTTTATACCTAACATTCTTAATTTTCTTACTGATGTTTTCCCGATATCATTTCCACCACAGTGCACAAGGATGACGTTAGGGTTAGGACCAACTTTTTTCAGCAACCGCAATTTTGCTACAGCATTCTTAAATTCTATACCACTGTAACCTTGCCACCAAATTGAAATATTTATTCTTTGCAAATTTAAATCACACCTACCAGGCCTATTCTTAGCTTCTGCAAAAGCCCTTTTAATAATTGATGACCCAAACAACCATACGACTTGAGAATCTGAAATAACAACTCTGGGTTAATTAAAATCTTGGAATACGTATGTAGGTTTTATAGCAATCAGATTTCCATCTTCCTGAGGATTGAATAACTTGAGATGAAAACCCCTTTAAGGCCAATTCTGTACTTGCCCCAATCCGAAAGGAGTGGGATTTGTAGCCCCAAGACTCAAGGTTTAGGGCTGATATTGCTTTGGATAAAATCGAAGTAAATTGGTACTTAGACAGGGGAGCTCCGGAAAAATGACAAAATAATGGACCCCCCTGAGTAGGTCTATTTTCCAAAAACCTTTTGAGATTAGTGCAGGGGCAAGTTACATCCCCTGTGCCATATATCTGCAAAATTGTACCCCTACCATATTGGTCAGTCTTTGAAAATTTTATTTTGAGGAATAGTGTAGTGCTATTGTCGTCAAATTGGATGTCTGTATAAGCAACAACTTTATCTGAGGATTTGCCGGAGACTGCCAGTTCTCCAGCTCTAAGCAGGCCATAATATGCGATAGAAAATGCAGCTGAAAACAATGAAACCTCATATGAACTTGTACATACACTTGGTAGAATTTTAAGAATCTGCTCTAATATGGACTTTGTAATGGGCAACCTACTGTCACTACTGTGAGCTGTGCGTTTCAAACCCTGTAACAACTTTTTAACTATAAACTCTTCTGTTGGATCTTTATGACCTTGAAGTTTGCTATTGTAAGAAATAGAAGCCAAGTAGGAACGAACTGTAGAAAATGCAAGGCCTTTAAGTGACAAATGCGCAACAAATCTAACAATCAAATCGCAGGTGGGTGGCCAAGGGGCATTTAATCCTTGTTGTGAACAGCAGCTGAAATATGCTCTCATGCCTATTTGATAAGCTTTGCTAGTGTTTTCGGATAATGCTGCCCCTAACAACTTGTTTATTTCATGCTGGATATGAGGTTCTGGAATTCGATTGGTACAGGTTGTGGTGAGGTCTGTGCGTGTGGTGCAGCCTGCCGGAAATGGTGCCACTGCTGACGAGAAATTGAATCGGCAATAATGTTATCATTTGTACGAATGTGAACAGCACGAAAAAATATATTGTTTAACATGCAATCTAAAACAAATGGGCGAACTAATTTCATAACTCTACTGGATTTTGAGGACTGTTTATTCAAAACCGAAACCAATGCTGCATTATCAATATGAAACAGTACTTTCTTATTTGCAAGTTGACTACCCCATAAGCTAATGGCCAAAACTACTGGGATAAGCTCTAGTGTTGTCATGTCACGCAATATATCTGAAGTGACCCATTCATGTGGCCAAGGAAAATAGCACCATTGCCCTTGAAAGTATGCTCCACAACCCAGATGTGCAGAACAGCACTGTGTGTATACAGATCTAAAACTAAATTTGATGTCAAATTACTTTCTTAATGGAAATAAACTTGACCATTAAATTGCTCTAGGAAACTTAACCACATAAGCATATCTTGCTTCATTTCATTGTTTAGCTTAATATGATGATGAGGCTTAGACACACCATGGGTTGAATCGTACAATCTCCTGACAAATGCTCGGCCAGCAGAAATAGCTTTTGTAAAAAAGTTTAGCTTCCCTAACAATGACTGTAACTGACGCAAAACTATTTGTTTTTTGCTTAAGTATTCATGCAGTATGTACTTCAATTCAATACATTTTTCATGAGGTACTCTGATTAACATTTGCACTGTGTCAATTTCTAAACCTAAAAATACAAGACAGTGAGTGGGATAAACCGTTTTGTCATCGGCTAAGGGGACCCCCAGTTCAGTACAAACTCCTTGAAATGTTTTCATTAATTTAAGACACGACTCCCTATCCTCCCCTGCAAATATGAAATCATCTAAATAATGATCTAAAGTATCAAAACCACTCTTTTTTTCAGTAATCCAGTGCAAGAATGTTGCAAATTCTTCAAATACTTTGCACGAGAGAGAGCAGCCCATTGGAAGGCATTTATCAATGTAATATAGACCCTCAACTTTGAATCCTAAAAGGTCAAAATCCCCAGGGAAGATAGGTAGTAGCCTAAATGCTGATTTAATATCTACTTTTGCAATAAAAGCACCTTTACCAACCTTTGCCAACATTTGTACAACTGTATCAAAGGATGTATAATGAACTGTGGACTCACTAGGGTCTATATAGCAATTTACACTGTTATCCGCAGGATATGAAAGGTGTGTTATCAAACGCCACCCAGCGTTATCCCCCTTTGGTACCACTCCTACTGGCGACACTCTGAGATTACATATTGGTAGTTCTTTGTAGGGTCCCCCCACCCTGCCTAATTCAACTTCTTTGTTAATTTTTTCTTTTATTTCTGCTTTGTGTTCATAAGCTGAAATTAAATTGTTATTTTCTATATGTAACCATGGACCTGAGTAATAAAGTCTGAACCCCTTAGAAAAGCCACTTAACAATTTGTTTGCTACAGATTTGTTTGGGTAAAGATCAAGGTAACTCTTTAATATGGGAATTTTAATTGGTGTTTTTCCTAGGACCCAAATATCTCTGACCATTTCCCCTGTAATTTTGGAAGTGGGACTGAGATCTTTGGTAGGAGTTTGGTTGAGCCTGTTGTCTTGTATATGCATTTCTAAATTGTGATTGTGGTTGCATGGACTGGGTTCGAAAGGAGTTTGTGGAGTTTGATGAGCTACTGGTATTTACCTGGGCTCTTTGATAATTGCATTGTATGACTGAGTGCAAGCCGGCACAATGTGTACACGTGTGCAATGTACTGACACGGATATCGACTGCAGGACCCCCGAAAATTAAAATCGTAGCAACATTTGTTTACTTGCGTGCTTTGAGTCTGGGGAAATCCAAGCTGATAAGTAGGATTCATGTATAACAACCACAGCTCTGAATCAACTAATGCCCAAGAACTAGAGGGATCTATAGATTTCCGCAGACGGTACTGCGTGTCATATTGGTACCACCCTGTGGCCCCCCTTGAAGCCCCCAACCGAACTGTATGGATGTACTTTAGCATATCTATTGCTTTATCTGGATGGGCAGATATGTAAACAGATGCAAACATGAGCATGACATCAGTCCATTTTTCAATTGTATATATTTTACCACATTTTCCTTTGTTACAATTTCTCCTGTGGCACTTAGGGTTAGTTTTTTATCAGTACCCCCAGGTTTAGGTGGAAGCAGAGACTGTAATTCTACAAACTGACCTTCAATTATTTTTTGTTTTAATGATTGATTAATGTGCATACCTAGATTATGAACCGAATGCACTGGTACGGATTCCTGATCATTGCTTGTTTGGGCCTGGGGCTGTACTTGCTGTGTCGTGGGAGTCTGTTGTTGGGCTTGCTGAGGCTGAATGGGTTGATGCGATGGACCTGACAAGAAAGTCTGCTGTGGTTGGGCTTGGGGGATCGTGTAATGCAGTGACTGTGCAGGTATTGGAGCAGGTTGCGCAACTGGCTGCTGGTTGGCTTGATGATGTGTTGTGGCAGCCGGCAGTGGATGGGCCTCATGTTGGGTCTGCTGAGGTATTGGAGCAGGTTGCATTATTGACTGCTGGCTGACTTGATGTTGTGTTGTGGCCGCAGGCAGTGGTTGGGCCTCATGTTGTGTCTGCTGCAGAGGCTGCATGGGTCGACTAGATGGACCAGCTGGTATATACGTAGCTTCTGGATGGGTTTGCATGTTCGGGGTTGGGGTTGCTTGGGTTCGGTCCAACTGCCTTCTTGTGCGACCCCGATTCTCCATCGTTGTTTCAGCTGGATCAAATCGTTGTGGTGGTCTACCTTTAGTTGATCGCTTTGTGCGTGGCATGTTGAGTCCCAAAAGACAAAAATGAAAAGTTAATTTAAAACAAAATTTCTCCAATTATACAAAAAATTAAAAATTGACTTTGACATTTAATGATTTACAAAAAAAAAAAAAAGAAATTATTCCCCCCTTTTGCGAGTTCAATTCAGGGTCAATAAATTCAAGGCACTATTTTCCCTCTATAACCTTACCAACTCTATGGGCCAGTATCCTAGAAACAAAATCTGTATTAAATATGTTCATTATATTTTCCAATTTGCATGTTGACCCGTCCTGTGGCAATACAGGTACAAAAAAAGAAATATCAACAGCTTACTTACAAATGACAAAGTGGTAAAATTGAGCGTTACGCCGACAACGGGCGATAACTCTTAGGAAATCTGTAGACAGTGGTATCAACCTCCGATTAAGTCACGTTTTTAAATTTTAGTAAGGAACCAATAAACATCCTCCGCTGCATTGTTCTTATTTATTTGTTTATTAATCATAAGCTAAAGTTATAAATCATTATCAAATACATGTTCGATTACTCTAGGGACAAAGATGGCGGCGAGCACATGGTGATGCAAAAATATAAAATTGAAATGCGTCTGACCTGGTCTAAAACCTTTGTATTGTCAACGAATATATAAATAAGCAGTACAAATTCAACAAATAATTAAAAGCAATCAAGGCTTTAGCAAAAATCTATTTTAAATCTCTATACTTAGTCGTTTTCTAAAATTTGAATAACACCAACCTTGCAACTAGCGTGTAGCCGGCAAAGAGAGAGTTTGCCGCATGAGTGCTTTCTTTATATATAACTGAAGGTTAGATAACTCGTGCCAAAATAAGGAGAGGTAACTGCGCCAAAAAAATTGCGCTGCCAAGATAAAAGCATCTTATTCGCATATAGGCGAGATAGATGCCATATTAAACGAGTTCAAAATATTGGATAAGAGAATATAAGGGAGGATTGGGTTCATCATCAAGAATAGCTATTTTCAATTAAATTTGCATACAATGTATTCGAAGAGAATATAGTAAAGTGTTTATTTAAGAAATAACAATAATGTTTAAAAAGATCAGTGGCAGGGATGAGGTAATGGTAATGTGTAATAGCCATTGGCTGTAAATAATTACAAATTTCGATGTAATTGAAAGTAATGTGTAACTGACCGAATTTTCAATTACAAGTAATGGTATTTCATTAATTAATTAATTTCCAAAAAGGCGTGTAATTCACAAATTCTATTCATTCATTACACTGATTTTAGATAACCCCTCCCCCTTAATTTCATAAACATTATTTATGAAAGGTGAAGGGATCTTTTGGACCAAAAATTTTAATAGTAAAATTTCTTGAAAAGAACTTCCCTTTTTAAATAAATTGTTGTTAAATATAATACCCCTTTTCTTTAAAAAAAAAAACAAACTTTAAAATCATATTAATCTTTGTAAAGTTTACAAATTAAAAATCATATTTTGATTTTTTAATTAATAAATCAGTATGAACATAAAAAGTCTAATGGCTTCTACACAGTGTAATCCTTTTGTTTGCCATATCTTCAGCTTTTGTTAGTAATTAACAGATAATAATTTGTGTGCTGGGGTCATGTACTTAATCCTAAATAAACATTTTTCACACATTTGACTTTGTCTGTTGGTGCTTTTGTACACGCTCTTTGACTTTAAATTGTAGTTTGGCAAATAATTAGTCAAATACCCACACTCTGAGATAAACCTATGATGTTTAAATAAGGAAGTATTAAGGCAAAAAGCACCAATTGTACATTTAACATAAATTTATGGGAAAGCTTAAAAATGATTCCAATTTTTTAACATATGAATTAAGGTTAAACCATGAGTACACTTTCTAATAGTCAGTATGATCTACATGTATCTATTTTTCTCACAAATACCCCAGTGGAAAGAATCTTCAGCATGGCATGAAAACCGTCAAATCTAATATATATTAGGTTAAGAGACACAGTATTTTAAAAATGTATGAAAATTTTTATAATACTAATGTAAAAAGAAATGTTGTAAAATAATCTGTTATAAATGTAAAAGAATGTACATGACTATTTACTTTTATACTTGAATAAAATTTGTATTTTAATTAATTACATTTGCAAAGTAATTGTAATTTAATTAGTTGCATTTCAAAATCCATGCAATGGTAATGGTACTTTAAATTGAAGCTTTTTGGAAAGTAATTGTAATTTAATTAATTACATTCCTATGTGATTCACCCCATCCCTGATCAGTGGGGAATTGATTTGGATGGCCATGCCAGGGAACCAAATCTCAGTAACTTTGATTACATACCAACTAAGTTGTTTTTTTATCGAGAATCATATTTAATCAATAAAATGGATTCTTTGGTTGTTAGTACGGGAATGAATGTCGCAGCTGTTGCAGAAAAAATACATAACCCGTGTAAGCGCTTAGGGTTATGTAAATTTTTTCTGCAATAGCTGCGACATTCATTCCCGTACTAACAACCAAAGAAAGACATTTTATTGTTTATATTTATATCTGTTTAAATAATCATTCAAAGTAGGATTAACAAGATTAATTATTTATTTAATGATGCGAACGTCTTTGGTTTCATTGATTGAGTAGCTACTGATCAAGAAATCTGTACAGGTCAGGCACGTAGCATCGTTTTTGAAAGTGGGGGGGGGGGGCAACCTGAGAAAATTTTTTTACTTAAAAAATCTTGACAAGCAAAAAAGAAAAAAAAAAAAAAAAAAAAAAAAAAAAAAAAAAAGTGGGGGGGGGGGCAAATCTTCTGTTCAATGGCCCTTTTCTATAGTAAAGGTAATGTTGGGAAAAAAGATGGGGGGCCAGCCCCCCCCCCCCCCCTGGCCCCCCTGTTGCTACGTGCCTGCAGGTGACATGCCAAATGTAGTTGATGCACTGATTAACGCAATGGGTTTTCTTACACACCCAACTTTATGTTAACGCCCCCAAACTCTACCTGATTCAAGATCAATAATTTACCGCCTGTCAATCATTAAAAAAACAATAGCTTTGATTTGATTGACAGGCCAGCTACCCGTGCTACATGTACCTGATAGTCTGAGTTTGTGTCCTTTGAAAACGATTGCCTGGTCACGCGTCAAATACTTTCATGTAGCCGCCTTGTATACACGGGGGTTAAAAAAGAATCTTGGTAAAATTTTTATATTAAAAACAATTGAGAGTAGACAAACATGATTTCATAAAATATTTGCTTTTAATCTCAACGGCTATATTGTATTTTAGGCGATATGTCGTCCAAGATATCTGCTGTAAGATTTAGACCAGTCTGTGCACAGAAACGCTATTTGCAGATTAAAATTGGAATAAGATAAATTATGAAAAGATATTTAGCACAAACGGCATGGATAAAAAATTCATTTATCCCATGTTTTATCTATGTATATATGAAAACAATGAAAACAATCTACACCATGTTCCGTTGTAAAATTCTGAAATGTCAGAAACAGCTAGGAGTTTCGAAATTGTTACTTTTAGTTTCCTAACATCTGTCAATACCCAATATTTGAAGTTAAAAAGTGAATATAAACAGCCAAAGATCAATTCTTAAAAGTATAAAAGAAATCTTGCAAACAATAAAAAAAATTTTAAACACACGAACACCCGGAAATAGTGAATATTTTTGACACTATTGTTGATCAGATCGTGGGCAATACTCCTATCGCGGTACGGTACATTGTATATGTTCACACGATGGATAGACCTATCTATGAATGGAATATTTTATTATTGTTTTTAAATTTTGATATTTACACAAGTTTATTTAAAAAAAGATATGTTTACTTCGTAGTTTTACTCTGTGTTGTTTTCCTTTAATTTGTCATTTTTTAAAAAATATAAAATGATACTTCTTTATAATTTTTTTCTTCATTAGATATCGCTGAAAGTATTTATAAATAAATTTTATATTGAAAAATTTTAATTGTTTCAAGTAGCTTTAGACACGAAACACAGAATGTTGACCCTGATCACCAGACACAGACTTCCTGTGTTAGGCTACGTGTATGTATAGATATTTGACATCTTGGGTATTGGGGGTCTCCAGGTAAATAGCACGACTGTTACCTGGACCACTCCCCCTCCTCAGGTAACCGTACGGTAAAAAAAATTGGGTCTTTAAGAAATAAAGGAGGAAATATTCAGTGGATGTAAATATAAAGTGATAAGTTTTAATCCCTTTTTTTCTTTTGTTAAAATATAATGCAATTTATGTGGAAAAAGACTACACTAACAACCAATCGTTATGGTCGAGGAACTTATGATCTAAAAATGCTGCAAAGTAAAGCCTTTCACTTTGAATATCATTGTAGATCTGTCAATAAGGTACGTAAACAAGTACATGTCAGGTTAAAAAATATTTTACCTGGGGTCTCCAAATAATTCACTGGTGGTTGCCATTTAACTAAAATATTTATCGTGCGGCCGGCAGATAATTATGTAGATCAAAAGAAACAGATATACAGGATGTTCGAAGTTTATTCCATATTTTCTCTCATTTTCGAAAAGATATACAATGAGAAGATAGTTAAAGGTACTTGGACACAGATTTGAAGTCAATGTTTTCTCTATTATATTACGACTTATATATTTTAATAGCATTTAACACAACAAGAAGTCTCTGTCGAGACTGTAGCTCTACTGGTTTGTACTTATAATAAAGAAGAGAAAAGTAGCAGTAAAGACTTAAAACTTTACAAAAGCAATAAATAGAATAATAGTCCTTGATTAAGTCTCTTTTTGTAGCAAAATTATCATAAGACTACAACAATTACTGTAGGAGTAGCTTTTAATAAAATTTTACAGAATTTTCAATTTATATTACTATGGCAACATAAGTCATCAAAATCAACTAGAACTGTCCAATAGGGACAAATACCCCCCGCTGGGTTTTTCAGAGAAGGTGCCAATTCAAAAATACTTTATGGATCTAGAGGTGTTCACGATTTACTTACAAAAATTTGCAGTGAAATATAATT